AAAAATGTAATTTTAGCCAATTTCTTCAACATGTAAAATGCTGACTTATGTTGATTTTTTTTACTATAATGCATATATGCATGATTATCGTGACTTTATTTGATAATAAAAATGCATATAGCTAAAAATGCAAAACTTGACAAATGAACATGTATCAGATGAATTTAAAATGCCTGGACAAAATTGAGGTATGGCACATCTCAAAGAGAAACATAACATGTAATATAATAGCTCTCCCCTAGTGTTACATATCAGAGTGACGCCAAAACTAATAGACTTGGAAAAAACAATAAAGTAAATGAAGAGCCCTCAACGCCATCCTCCAGCTCAACAACAACTAGTGCTCTTCTACCTAAGTATATGTAGCACGAGAGTACAAAACACCACAATCAAAACAACCAGGGGTGAGAGTATGTTCAAAATGTAAGCGGTGTATAAAGCAATAAAGAATAACACACTCAAACATAAACGTGTACGTATCATTCACAACCATCACCAATCATAAGTGCATATGTATATGCAATGCATTCATCACCTTATTACAAAATGCATGTGGTACCAATCTGCTAACCAATTTGGATATTAGGGTTATGTTACTGACTAATCCCATCACGAATATTGAGCATCATAGTTATGTTACTGATTTAGTCTCATCACCAATTACCTATCACCGATATATATGATGCATGAAATGCAATAACAATATAATGTAATAATCATCACCAACGGTTCTTACCCAAACCACATGCCTCACCATAATGCATCACACCATATAATGATAACTCACCATAATTCAACACATCGCGTGATTATGACTCAAAATGACATGCATAATCATATTGTTACTCACATAATACTCGTCGACATATAATATTCCACGACAACACTCAACAGACTCAACTCATGACTCAGTAAAGCTCATACATGACTCTTTCACTTTTATTCAGGAACTTTAAAGTCACCAGACATATTTTAATCTTAACTCAGTTACCTTTTGACTAAGCTCTGAACATGTCAAATAGCTCAATACACCACTCATTTTATTCACACAACACCAACATACTAACTCTACTCACCAAACTCGGCAAACAACAATAAACAGTCATTGCCATCAAAAATTACTCAAAAAATCAAGTCATATGCTCTAAATTGTTCAATTATAGGTGCTCTAAATCCCCATTCATCCGCCCTCTGTCTCCCTCTCTCTCTCTCTCTCTGACACACACACACACAACCCATCACTCTGTGACACCTAGGCAAAAAGTGAGTCTCAAAGACCATGACGGTCTCCCCGACATCACACTGATGTCCTTCAGCTCTCCCAGATGCATGACGGCCAACCCCTTACGCCAGTGACGCCCTTCACCGCTATACAGATTGTAGAATTTATTATTTCCACCATTTGAGCACTTCCAAATCTCCGATTTCAACCTCCAACCACCCAAATCGAACAGAAAAATATCATACATAATATATTGGACACATAACACACTAAATCAACACCTAATACACATCAACATTAATTTATCAATAAATTTATCATTATGTTCATCACCACCAAAACACATCAACATGAACAACACTAATATGAATTTCACGTATAATTTACATACAAATTGAGCACATAATCACAACATAAACACATATTCAAAACAAAATAATCCAGAGAAGTATGCATAACCATCTCAACAATTTAAAACCTTAACAAAGAAGGATTGGGGGAAACAACAAGGAAGATGGTTAAGATCCCTCTCAATCATTTATGAAAAACACATTCAAAGATGAATAATCCCTCCCTCCCTTACCTGAATTTTGCAGCAAAAGGTTGAATTTTCAACAATGGTAGTTCTTCCCTCTATGCTTGTTATCTTGCCTATATAACTCCTTTTTTCCCAAGTTTCATGTACTACCTAAACCTATTTTTCTCTCCAATTTTCTTTTAAATAAAAACATAATTCTTTTGTTTAAGTTATTTTTATTTTTCCCCTTCAACTTTTGATATCTCACTTCTTACTACACTAATTATATCGTTGTCCTATTCTCCACCTCATATCTCAATATCTCTTATTTTATCCATATTTCTATTATTTTAATTAATCAAAATAGTGATAATTATATAAAATCTACACAACTGCCGATAACCCCACAAAATATACATAGAACATTCCAATAAATCATTTAAGCATATAAAGCTCAATAAAATAATTTTCTTTAAAAACTAGGGCGTTACAGGATCTGTTGCCGGTTGCTACAGAATCAGAGAGGGAGGAGCTCAATTGTATCTTATCTCAATCACTCCCTTAGCGTTTGTCAAAGACTTATTTGTTTGGTGGCGCGATCCAGCTAACTTCTCTATAAAATCATATTTTCTCTGTCTTCATGCTCTCTCTAGCAGCAACGAACCCATTGATCATGATCTTGCGGTGATTCTGCTTAGTCTATGGAAATTTAATATTCCATCTAATATCTAGGTGTTCTCATGGCGGCTTTCCCCCAATCGACTTCAAACAAAATATTAGTTGTTGAGTATCATCTTCAATCTGCATAATATGGTTTGCCTTTTTTGTCTTTGTAATATTGAACCTCAATTTCACTTGTTCTTGTTGTGCCCAAAATCCGAGCTAATTTGGATTAAGGTGTTTGAATGGATAAAGCTCGATTGCCTCCCTATTGCTACAAGTATTATCGGTCGTGTGATGAATTTAAACAAGATGATGAAAGGCACCGTCTTTAAAGGCTTTAAGCTTTATTTTGGTTTGCTACTTTTAGAACAATTTAGCTTTCTAGAAATGATATCCTTTTAATTGAGGCCTCTATGATGTTATTTTCGTGGTTTTTTTTTGCTAAGACCGTCTTTTAGGAATGAGCGAGTGCTAGATTTAAGCGTGCTTTCATTTGTTATAAAAAGATTGGTTTGTAAATCTTCTTATCAGTTGTATCCGACAACATAACTAGAATCTTCTCTCCTTTTTATAGTTGGGTTGAGTACTCATTGTACTCCTATTAATATATAATTGATTATAAAAAACTATATATATATATATATATATATATATATATATATATATATATATATATATATATATATATATATATATATATATATATATATATATATATATATATATATATATATATATATATATATATATATATATATATATATATATATATATATATATATATATATATATATATATATATATATATAAAATAGCAACAACTTCCCTACCATTTGAACCAAGACGTTTCTTTTAAATTTTTTATGCAACTATGTTTATTTATTCCTACTTAGGACATATTTGCAATATGTGTAAGAAATCAGATGCAAGAGGAGCACGGCTTTGCTCCATTTAAGTATTGTTCCGTTTAGTCCATTCCAATTAATAATCTTGTAACACATGAAATGAATTTAATGATTATAATTAAATTAAAAATAATAATTGAAACAAATGAAAAAAATTATTAAATATGCAAATGAAATTAGCAATAAACCATTCCATTAAATCCTTCCTTCTAAGTTTTCAATATCATAATAAGTTAGCATTAAATCATTTTATCAAATGTGTAAATTATTATTTTTAATTTAGTTATAACTATTAAATTCATTTTATCCACATATTACAAGATTATTAATTGAAATGGACTAAATGGAGCAATGCTTAAATAGCCGTACTCATGCAAGAGAGCGTGGTGTTGTTTCACTTCTCTATCACATGATAAAATTTGTGAAAGTTGTTATCCAAATCGATGTTGCAAATGTGATTAGTCTTGGAGCAATTGACGAGGAGATTCTCTAAAATTCCTGTCCGTTAAATTCTTTTTATCTATTCTTATATGAAAAATATAATATTGATGTAGTCTTTTTCTTTTTAAATATATATTTTTAATTTTAATTTTAATTTTAACTTCTTTTTTTAATAAATAGTGGTTATATAACGATTTTATTAATTTTATATTATTATTAATTTATAAATAATAATAATAAAATAAAAATAATAATACAATTTATATTTTATTTACGTGAATATTATAAAAAACAGACAGAGAAATACATCTGAACAGCATTATATAATAATTTTATAAGTTATTCGTAAAACAAAATAAGTAATTTAAAAATTCTTATTTAGTATAGTTTTTTCTTAATAAATATAATAATTATATTATTATTATTATTATTATTATTGAAATAAAAATAATTAAAAATGAGGTGGAATATCAATCAGGTCAACTAACCTCTACACAGTCAAATTAGTTGTCCATCATAAAAAATGAGATTGAAAAAAAAAAGATTAAAATCCAGAAAAAAAATTAAAATAAAGAAATTAATAAACTGGATTTTAAAAACAGGATAAATTTTTTTTAAAAAAATTAAAAATAGAGTGTAAAAGTTGGCGTTTTAAAAAATTGTAACTTATTTATAAGATGCATCGATGGCAAATAATCTCTTTTTATTCTCCCCTAATTTATGTCGGAAATCCATATTAGAACACATTTTGTTTGTAATTTAGTAGAATCGTGCTAATTTTCTGCCGAAGGATGTTCAAAAAGACAATATACGATGCCGTTAACATCAACATATGTGATAATAATTTGACTCTTCGTCTTCCTCTTGCTTCTCCATAATATTCTTTTTATTTATTTTTCACCTTTTCTCAACTACCTCTTTCCCTCTTCAACCCTTCTCAATTTCCAATTTTCAATCTAGTTCTTTCTCTCCTTGGCACCACACGTTATCTTCTTTTCTACAGGTACAATTTTGTTTTTCTTTTCAATTTTGTGTATTTTGAGTAAACCTATATGATTTTCTTATTATATTCATTCATAAACCTTAGAATTTTATGCTTATTTTATGTTTGTTATATACATTTCTTCAATTTGAATTAGTCAATTTTGTTGAATAAAAAAATTTGTCAAATGTGAATAATTCACCTAACCGTGGCCTTGATTTTGAATGCTTATTTTTAATGGGTTGTTTGTTTTTACAAAGACTCAGTTGAATGAAGCAAATGGAACAAGAAAAAGCAGATATCTTGGAAGCAAGAGCGGTAGAGGAAATTGAGATGCCAATTGTCTCTGACGCAGATAGACTTGAACATCTGACACCAATGTCGTCCATGTCGTCTAGCAACAATTATGTCTGTCGTTTTTCGAGAAAGGAAAACAGTGATGATGCGTCGAATGAATCGGCGAAGAAGCTTTCTTTACTGATAGTTTTCTATGCTGTTGTTATGGTTGTTGAACTTATTGGGGGTATGAAAGCTCACAGCTTGTCTGTTATTAGTGATGCTGTGCATTTGCTTTCTGATATTGCTGGATTTGCTATCTCTCTCTTTGCGGTGTGGGCTTCGCGTTGGGAGGCAACGCCTCGTCAATCTTTCGGGTACAATCGTCTTGAGGTTTTGGGGGCTCTTTTATCTGTTCAGTTAATTTGGTTCATATCTGGTTTTTTAATATATGAAGCAGTTGGTAGAATTGTTAATAGAAATGATAGTGTGAATGGAAAGCTCATGTTTGCAATTGCAACATTTGGTTTTGTTCTTAACTGTATTATGGTTTTATGGCTTGGTCATGATCATAGTCATCATCATGGATTTGGAGATTCACATGGTCATGGTCATGATCATTCTCATGGTCATGATCGTCATCATTCTCATGGTCATGACCGTCATGATCATAGTCATAGTCATCAATGTGGTGGAGACGCGGATCATGATAATGGGATGGAGGAACTGTCTAAAGTAACTGATGAGGAGAATCTTACCATGATTTCAAATGGTAAGAGGAAAACAAATGTTTTGAATATTAATATCCAAGGGGCTTATTTGCATGTGATGACTGATATGATTCAATCTCTTGGAGTGATGATTGCCGGAGGAGTAATATGGGCTAAACCCGAATGGTTTATAGTTGATCTTTTATGTACTCTCGTTTTCTCGGTTTTATCCTTAAGTACTACTCTAACAATGCTTAAGAACATTTTTGGCATTCTGATGGAAAGGACGCCGAGTGAGATTAACATCATTCAGCTCGAAAATGGTCTTAGAAGTATCAAAGGACTGCAGGAGATACATGATTTGCACGTTTGGGCTATAACCGTTGGTAAACTTTTTCTATCGTGTCATGTAGTAGCTGAACCTGGCATTAGTTCTATTGATTTACTTGATACAATTAAACAGTATTGTGAAAACACTTACCAAATACAACATGTAACCGTACAAATTGAGTAAGAGTATGTTTTTTTATGTACCACATTTTCACCTTATTGTTTATCTGTGTTATGGTTTTTAGTTTTTTTTTAAGGCCAAAACATAATTTTATCGAAGATTGGCATGAATCATACCAATATCCAATCATTATCGGTACAAGATAAAAGCCTCATGACAGTAAACAGAAAGAAATCTAGCAGGTTAGAACAATACAAACCAGACCAATTTCAAGCTAATGCATCGAAGAATGCAAATTGTGGTGCCGATATAAGTTATTGTGTCATGCTCTTTAGTCTATTTGCAGGAATTTTAGATAGTACTTTGGCAGGTATTCAATTAGAGAAACTGTTTGAAAATCATTCAACTTCAATAGAATTTCAATCTTTGGAATTAGAGCTACAAAGACATTATATTTCTTCTGTTATGCCAATGAAATTCAAAAATAAATCTCTGAAAATAATTTTTGATCACTTTTAGTCCCAATTCACCACCTTATCACATGAAAGGATAGGACAATGATCTAATAACCCTTTGTCTAAACACTATAGGCTTTTACCTTTACTGTTGATGGTGAAATCCGTACTATTCCCACAAACTATGTAAGGCTATTTTAAATATTTGTGTCGTGCACCATCATATAGATTCACGATATTTTGACTTTAAACAACCAAAGTACTTGAAAATGCACATGTTTTTAACAAATTTGAATTTGGATTCTATTTTATTTTTCTTACTTTAAATTTAAAGTTTAAACCACCAAAGCACTTGAAAATACACATGTTTTTGATAAGTGGTATGCATATGTTTAGGACAAATTTAACATGGATATCGAGATATAATAGAATAAAGAGTTGGATAAACTAATTACTAATTATTAAAATATTATATATTATTTAATATTTAAATTTTTATTTATGTATAATATATTTAATTTTGATTATTTTATATTGTAAAATATATTTTATATAGATAAATAAATTATTTATTTCCTTATCCTATTTTGTTAGTTTTAACCCATCTTAAATTTAAAATAAATTTATACTTGATAAAGTAGAGTGGGTGGAGTGGCTCAACAAATGTGTACTAATTGAGTTAAAGATTGTTAGATACTTGTAAATCAAACAAATTTTTAAAAAAATGATATACAATTATGGGTTAAAATGATTGAAATAGTAATTTAATAATTATTATTTTAATAAAAACAAGGATACATCTGAATTGTATAACGGATTAAATGTATTGATTATTCAATGAATTAAAAAAAAAATTCTCTTACAAATAAAATAGAAAAAATATTATTTTTAAAATTCTGGTTGACCAAAAATTAGAATTTTTAATAATTATAAGTATTGGTCAATGGTGAACTACCTAAAAAATTTAAACTATATACCTCTATTGGTATTTGATCCTTTTGCTATTGAAAGTTCAAACACCATTTTTCATTCATTTTTCATTTTCTTACCCTATTTTCTTCCTTTTTAAAACAGCATTTCTCTAGCTCCCGCTAAAATGTAGGTATTTTTCAGCTAATGAGGTGCAAATTTACGTCCCAAAGTAGATGGCGGATGGTAAAAAGATACAAGAGCCTTAAAAAAGTATCCTTAAAACATTGTTTAAACATTGTTTAAGGAACTTAAAGAGATAATTTTTAAGAAAAAAAATATTGTAATAATAATTACATTTGAAAGTGTTTAAGTTGTATTTCTAGACGAAATCTCTTTATTATCTCATTTATCAATGTCCACATTCATTAACAAACCAAAAAGATATGGCAAAAGGGATGATGATAATACAATATGTCAAAGAGATCTCTCAAGTAGAGACTTAAATACAACAAAAATCTAGAACAGGTTTTATTTAAATCTTACACCACCTCCCTGAAACGTCAGATTCTCATTAACCATGCTATATCAGCAAATATCTGTCAGCTCCAATAATATTACATCAATTCAAAAGAAATGATCACATCAAGGAAGAAATAACCAAAAGAAACTAGCAACACTATAGTTCTGAATCTTTCATAGGCTTCCTCATCGCAACTCAACAAAGTAAATGTACTCTACATGTTTCTATCTCACCCATAAAGAAGGAAATAAAAATAGAGAAAGAGAAAGGGGGCAAAAACAGAATTGGGGGGGAAAATACTATCTGCTAGTAACAATTTTACTGAAAATGTCACATTAGGCGGAGCAACAGCCTCTCTTTGTATTGGCGGAGGAATCTGCAACATTGATGGTGGTTCCTTGACCAGGAAGTGGGGTACCAGAAGCTGCTTCCTGAGCTGCAAGTGCTTTTTTGCTTACAATATGATAGATCTCTGTCAATATGGTTTGGAATGCCTTCTCAATGTTGGTTGCTTCCAATGCAGATGTCTCAAGAAAAGAGAGACCTTCCTTCTCTGCCAATGCATGACCGTCGTCTTCTGAAACAGCTCTAAGATGGTTCAAATCAGACTTATTTCCAGCCATCATGATCACTATATTAGAATCCGCATGGTCCCTCAATTCACGCAGCCACCTGTTAACATTGTCAAAGGTTTGCCTCTTAGTTATGTCATATACAAGAAGAGCACCAACAGCGCCTCTATAATAGGCACTGGTAATCGCACGGTACCGCTCCTGACCCGCTGTGTCCCATATCTGTGCTTTTACAGTCTTTCCTTCTACCTGTGGAGGAAGTCAAGGAAACAACCATTGGTAACATTGTAATACAAACAAGTATTCATAAGCATAACTTCATATTAGTGTATGTTTGATTTAGCTTTTGGAAGAGTCAAAACCAATTCTAGACATGTAGAATTGATTTTGGAATGATTTTAAAGTGTTTGATTCTTGTGAAGAACAATTGATTCTGTCTCTAGAATTGATTCTATACTTGAAGCTAGAATTTGTAGTTTTTGAGTTTAAACATGATTTATACATTGAAATTTAATGTGCAACTCACTTCTACGTTTATACAAACATAAATCAGTTTACCTTCAACTCATTTTTAACTAATTTTACAAAATCAATTCTTTTCACGACAGAACCAAACACGCGCTTACAAATAACTTCAACACTAGCAAGTAACAGAAAGTTTACTCTCAATAAAAGGGAGTAAAATATAATAGTATTAGTTTAAGTTTTAACACTAAAAGTCAATGAGTTCAGAATATTCTTTGAAATGGGAATGTTTAGAGTGAGAGGATGACACCCTATAGTCTTAATAAAATTTCATTGACCTCTTCCCTGGGACAAGTGGGAACTAGAGCCTGCAACATGTCGGATACAAGCCCTGTCATGCTTCAATAGGTCAACCCTTTGGGGTTTTGAACTCAGAATATTTGGTTACTGATATGCTTGGACACAAAAGATGAGTTTTCTTTTGAGAAGTGTTTTTTATAACAAGATGTCAATAAAAAATACTCCCTCTGATCCTTAGTAAAAGAAAAAATTTACTATTTAGATTCATTGAATAATCAATGTATCTGAACTACATATAATCCAGATACATTGATTCTTCAATGAATTTAAAACTAAACTTTTTCTTATATTGAGTACCAGAGGTAGTATATATTTTCCAATGATAATATAAACTTGAACCCTCAGCACTTGATCACACAGCACTTGAAGCTAAAATCATTCCTCTATGACAAACTAGTCTCACAGAATACATGATCCTCAGCAAAGGATCTTAGCTACAACTTGAAAATTTCTAACCAATCAATGCTTATGACAAAAGACAACATACTCAAATAACTTGAAATTTTAGAAATACAAAGAAAAACAAGGATCATTCCGTAAAGATAAGTTACAAATGAAATTATGAGAGCATTCACAAGATCAATTTTCATCGCACCGAGAAAGTTCAAATACCTGAAGAGTCCTGGTGGCGAACTCAACCCCAATAGTAGATTTAGACTCCAAGCAAAACTCATTTCTCGTAAACCTAGAAAGAATGTTGGATTTACCAACACCAGAGTCTCCGATCAAAACGATCTTGAACAAGTAATCATACTCATGATCCACCCTATGCGCCATAGATCTTCTCCTCTCCGATCTCTAAAACCTATACCAGATCCAATCAGAAACACCGCTCAATTATCATTCAGATCCAAATTGAATACGTTAAAAGCGTACGAACGTTACAAAACGCAAATCAAAACAAAAAACGAAAGACGCAAATATTCACACACACAAAAATACGTACGAAATGAAGTAACAGATCTAAGAACTAAATAACTAAATCGGAAAGCGATAGAACTTACTGTGAAATCGATTGATTGATCAAAAAAGAGATGATAACAACGGATTGATAATTGAAAGGTTTTGGTTTACAAAATTTTCGTAGTGAACTCAGGTAGTTGAGAGAGAGTGTGGAAGAGAACGGTTCGGGTAGAAAACCGAACCGCAGAGAAATTTAGTGGAGAAGATAAAGAAAAAGAAGAAGAAGAGATAGAGAAGTTGGAGGCTTTTTTTCAGAGTTGTCGAATTGGCCAATTGGAGAAAACGGAAATATCGATGAGAGAGAAAGCACTTCCAACGGCAAATAAATAAAAACGTATTATTTAATTAATTAATATTTTTATTTTATGTCTGAAACTAATTCAATTTTAATAATATATATATTTTAATTTGGTGTGGTTTTTATATACAGGGGAGAAACGGTGTCGTATTAGAGAGCAAGCTGGCTGGTGGGTGAACTAGCATGAAAAGTACAAGGTGTTAATTGCCAGAGATTTTACACGCTTTTCTTTGTTGGCGGTTTTTTTTTTTGTGTTTTAAATTAATTTATAATTAGTGTATTTAAATACTGATTTATTCCAAAACAAAATTATATTAGCATGTTCTGAAAAGAGAGACTATAGATATATAGATGCCAAAAACGGTTGGGACATGCTAATATAAAAAGATGGCATAATTATATTGAGAAATGTTTAAAGACCAAACGTATAGAGTTCTATTTTGTATTATTTTTCGTTGTGCTAAAAATGGTGATGGCAATTGGAAATTTATATTGCATAAATGTGTAGAGATAGTTTGACTCAATCCAATGCAGTTGTCAATTTGTTTTCTGATATATATTTTTATTATTTTTTAGTTTGCATCATCATATATTCGTTTTAGGCGTGGGAATGTTTGTTTTGTAAGAAAAGAAAAAAAAAACATGAAAATGGAATGTTGGAAATTTTGTCTTGCACCCTTCCAATTAAACTGAGACACCCTAAAATAACTTTTTGATTATAATGTTTTTGGTCCTTATGTATTATGAGTCATTTTTCGGATCTTTCATATTAATTATTGAATATTTTGAGATTTCTACGGGATTTTTATATGTTGGTCAAATTTTTTCGTTAAAATTTTGCAATTTTATAGATATGTTCACGTTCGTGCAACATTTTTTTGAAAAACAACTAATTTTTATTGACATTTTGAATGTTTGGTAAAATCTCATAAATAGTATGAATTTATTCTAGATTTTTTTTTTAAATATTGTAAATCAACATGCATTTATATATGCACTTTTGAAATGTTTGGTAAAAATGCATACATGCGTACCATCTTTTTAAAAAGTGCTTGTAAAGAAGCTGTTGGTAACCCAAATTTTCAAAAACTCCGATAAAATTATTTTTTTTCGAATTTTAAAAAAAGCAGATAGGTTATATTTCTTTTTTTTTTTATGTAGTGAGGACTAGAGGACGAGACAACACGATATTTCTAGACGGGTTGACAAAGCTGGAAGAAAAGCTACATAGAGCTCTTGGGAGATGACAAGAAAGATTCGCATATCCAGGCGAGTAAAATAGTACTACCGATCCTCACAAGAGGGGGATGGTTGAGCAAGCACGCGCACTCTGTACTCTCTCTAGCATGGATGAGGTAAAGTTGGGCGGAGCAAAGATCTTGATGCAGAGCCTGATGCTCATGAGGATATAGAGACTCAGACTGACATAGAGGTGGCGAAGGTTGACACTAAGATGGAGGTTCAAGCTGACACTGAGGTGAAAGCTCAAACTCACATAGAGGTGGAGAATGATGACACAAAGGGTCCGTTTAGTTGGGGGTAGATGGAGGGGAGGGAATATTTATAAAAATATGTGTTTGGTTCATTTTTTATAAGGGGATGGGAAGGGAGAGGAGGGGAGCAAATTCCCTCGTAGACTCACTTTTTGCTCCCTCTCAAATTGGGGGATTTGGAAGGGAGGGGAGATTATTGTTTAAAATTTTATTATATTCCTTAATTTATCCTCAATTATTTATTTTAATTTCAAAATTGTCCGAACTATTAAAAACCAAGTTTATGTTTTTCTCTGTATTGTTTCATGTTTCTTTTTTCTTCTATTTTGTTGCTGCTACATATGCATTGTTGCTCTCAGGTGAGTTTTTTCCTTTTTATTTTGTTGAATTCTTCTATTTTGATTTTATGTTGTTTATACGTGTAACATATAACTATAATCGGTGATTGATCGGTTATTGTTAACTAAAACTTATGATTGATCGGTTGTCGTTAACTAAAAGTTGTGATTGTTTTGATTATAGTTATATATTATCAGACAAATTTCTTATTCCATGAACATTGAATATGTCACGGATGCTTTGAGAGTAATTATAAAATAAATTTCATATTCAACTTTCATATTTAAATAAAATTTATTTGATTTCTAAAGTAAAATTTACAAAACTTTAAATTCAATATAGTTGTTTTTTTTGTCTGCACATAATGATGAGTTTATATGGATCACATTACAAATTGGACCTCTAATTTACCTTGGTTCAATCATGTATTATAAAGTTTGATTTGATCATAATTGAACTTTTGATGCCTTAAAAGAAATAACATTCTCTAATACTTCTGAAAATTTTGTGAAATTGCAATGAACAGTGAGTTAAAACATTAAAAACTCACTGTGAAAGAGTTTTTATTTGGTGATATTTACTCAACTATTTTTATTTAGAATTGTTTTTACTAAATACGAATGATAATATTTGTAAGGATAAAAAAGTAATTTAGTTTTAAAATCTCTCCCCTCCCCTCGCGAACCAAACATATATGTAGTTAAAAATCCACCCCCTCCCCTTCTTTGAACCAAACATATATTTAGTTAAAATATCTCTCAGCCCCTCCCCTCTATTAAATTCCCTTCTCTCCTACTCCCTACGTTGATCCAAACGGACTCTAAGGGTGTGTTTGGTTCGGGATAGATGGAGGGGGGAGGAGGAGAAGGGAGGGAAGATTTTTAATTAAATATGTTTGATTCAAATTTTAAGAGGAGAAGGGAGGGGAGCAAAATCCCTCCAAAACACATTTTTTTGCTTCCCTCCAATTTGGAGGGATTTTGAGGGGAAGGGAGGGAATATGAGTTTGAATATTAAAAAAATTATTATATTTACTAAAATATCATCGGTTTAATTTTAGTATTTCAAATTTATTCGTTTTCTTTTGTGTTACTACTTTCTTCTGTGTAATTTTCTCGATTGCTTCCATCATCTTATTATAATTGTTATCTACATTCAAATTATTTTAGAATTTTTGTACTTTATAAAAATCATAATCATTGCACTTTTTTTTTGTTTTTTAATTAAAAATATTATGTTAGTTACATTCGTTTTTTATTCTAATTTTGTTATGTATCATATCATGTTTTTTATATCAAATTTTAAACCATTCATTTTTTTATTCATTTTATTAAACATTTTGAATCAATAATATTTAATAATAATTTATTTTATGTATTTATTTTGTTAGATGATTCAACATGATTTAAACGTTGTTATCAGCATATAGTTTAATTTATATTAGAGACTTATACTCTGAATCAAGTGTACTCAATTTTTTAACGTTATATGGTAAATAAATACTTTTTTAGTCACTCAATATTAAAATTTTTATCATCATAAAAAATATGCATGAATTTTTCACATATGAATAGCATATCACCTATATAAGATCATAAGGATAAAAATGTAAATTATTAATAAAATCCCTCCCCTCCCCTCATGAACCAAACATATTTTTAATTAAAATCTCTCTCATCCCCTCCCCTTCTCTCTTTTGAACCAAACATTTATCTAATTAAAAAAATTCCTCACCTCCTCTCTCATTCCCTTCCCTCCATTAAAATCTCTCCCCTCCCCTCCCTCTCATTTGAACCAAACAGACCCTAAGGTGAAGACTCAGGCTAACACTGAGGTGACGACTCAGGCTGACGAGGAGGTGGAGACTTTGACTAACATGGATGTGATAACTCATACTAATACAGAGTCATTTGTACACATAGATGAGGGCTTCCTTGAAGGGCTTACTGACTGTACCTTCCTCATCACGTATGTCGATCATGTGCCATTCAGACTATGAGAGGGAGATGTATAAATATTTTATTTTAAGTTTTTTTATTTGTTATTGATTAATTGAAAGTAACTGATGGTTTATACTTTAATTGTTACATGACCGCCTATCGTTGAAGGTGCCCCGCCTATGAGGCGAAGTTGAAGAAATTTTCAAATGTCCAAATGTCTAATGAGGTCAGACATATTGTTGTTGATGCCTAAAATAATTGTAGGTTTCACGTTTTTGAAATACACAAACGCAATATACCAATATTGAGATAATCTAAAATGTTTTTTTTAACAAAATATAATGCATTATTTATACAACTTTGGAATTATTATGGACCATACAAAACTGACTGTATAATCCCAACCCTACAAAAGTGTCAGTGAAATTTCAATTATTGAAAATTAACGCTATCAAGTTTTTCATTATTATGGAAAAATATCTAGTAATCAGTAAAGGTTTTGAAAAAACGATAATCTCGAAAGTTTTTGTAAAAATTGCAAAATTAACACGGCCGAATTTTTCAGGGTTATGGAAAAAATACAATAATCTCTGTTGCTTCTGAAAAAGACCGCTAAATTTTGTCATGAATCATTTTTTTTTTGAAATAATTGATAAAAATGCATACCAAATTTATTTATTGGACTACCATATTTTTTGTGTATCGTATTTTTTATTTACCTACTGGATTTTTTTCATGCCATTT